CAAATTAACACTCACGGACTTCAAGACCCAGCCACTGCGGAAGGTGAATGGTGGCGAAATCAACCTATAGGAATTGCTAACACAGAAACCACCGCGGCCCACTAGCATTCACCCATAGAGTCAAGCATCGTTGGAACTACCTGTGCGCCATCACGAATCAGACCCTACTCCACCCTTTGGAAGCAAATCAGTGTCAAGGATTCATTCCCAAACTAAACACCCTGACTAACCTATCAAAAGAACACTTCTTGCACTTCCACAAGACTAGAATGATGGGACTAAATAATCCAGAGAGATCATGACTCGAAAATCCACATAAGCTCGGCAGCCCTCACTGACCCAAATAGCCCAGAATGCAACAAGAAGTGGACAACAGCAGAAGTTAAAAAGATCCATAGGTCCATTCAACAGATCGGCAGCACTGCCAAAACGAAGCATGTTACAGTAACTATTGCTGCAGGTTCAGAAAATTTGACAAAAAAAAAGCTATAAGCGCGGGAGGTGGGCACCTCGAACTGGTTAACTACGTTACCGATAGACAAATGGTTTCTAAGCAACAAACAAAATTTACAGGTCACCATTGCTCTAAGGTACGGTTGGCCAATAGACATGGTTTGCCCTCCCAATGCGTGTTGGCTCTCCCTATGATGGCGATCACGCCATAAGGTCTGCAAGAGGGGGCTTCATATGCATGAGACGCACAACGAGGTAAGGGATCTCACAACAAATATGTTGAAGGAAATCTGCCGGGATGTCATAGGTAGAACCCAGGCCCTCCTCCACTGGATGGCGAGATCTTCCAACATAGGACTTCAAACACTTCTAACAAGAAGCCCGTGTGGACATCAGTGCTTTTAAAGTTCTGGACTCAGAAGGGACAGCGAGCTTACCCGACATCAAGTTTTTATCCCATAGCCGTTTGTCACCATAACCTAGCTCGATGCCAGCGCATAGGAGGAACGAGAACGACAAAGAAGGGCATATGGGAGAGAATACAAAATGTTGATCAAGGCAGCTTCCTCCTCCTAAGTGTTCACAACCTCTGAATGGGACCAATTCCAAGATGTTTCCCCCAGAATCGTGAAGACGATCTCGAACAAAGCAGCAGCCCAGTTATGTTACACCTGGATGAAATGTCATTGTCCTTCTCTCTCCCCCCGGTCGGCTTTGCTCTGCCTCAGAACGAGCTAAGCCCCTACTCCGACAACGCTGCAGATATTGACTATGAGGGCTACAGTCACTGAATGCATAGATTTCTTCATCTCAACTAATTAACACCAGATAGGATAAACCTTCTTAATTAGATATTTAATATTAAGGTAAATAAATGGTGGCGAAGGTGTGGCTATTGAAGAGGCTGGAGCCACTTAAAAAAAAAAAAGTAGTAGTAGTAGTAGGCGGTTTGGATAATAGTGTTGGAGGTGGTAAATGACCATGTTGGTGATTGTGTTGGAAATTAGTAATGACCCTGTTGGTAGTAGTGTTGGGGTGTGGCCTGGTGAAGTGACATCAAATGTTGGTGGTAATGGCTGATCCTGGTCATGTGATGATGTTGGAGGTAATCAGCAGCCCTGTTGATGGCTGATTGGAGTGGCAGCGCCCTGTTGGTAGTGATGTTGGAGGTGTGTGGCCCTGTTGGTAATAGTGTTGGAGGTGGTAATCACTGGTAACTGTAGTGTTGGAGGTGGGCGCAATGACCCTGGTGGTGATAGTGTTGGAGGTGGTAATGACCTGGTGGTAGTAATGATGTTGGAGGTGGTATTGGCCTGAGTGCTAGTGGTGCTTGGAGGTGGTGTGTTTCTGTTAGTGGCAGTGTTGGAATTAAGTAATGGCCTAATTGGTGATAGTCATTGGGTGGTAATGACCCTGTTAGGTAAAAGTAGTAGTCATTGGAGACGTAATGACCCTGGTGCCGTGGTGTTCGTGGGTGGTAATGACTGTGCCCAAAGTAATGTTTGGAGGTAAAGTAATGACCTATTTTCTAATGGTCGGCTGGAGGTAGTAGCAGCAGCCCTGGTGATAGCTGGTGTTCCAAATTTAAAGTGATAATGACCCTGTTGTGTGAAGTGTTGGAGGTGGTAATGACAGCCCTGGTGGTGGCTGATGTTGGAAGGAGGTGGTAATGACCTGGTGGTAGTAGTGTTGGAGTAGTGTGAGCCCTGTTGGTCCGTAGTGTTGGGGAATTAGTATTGTTGGCCGTGTTGAAGTGTGTGTGACTGGTGGTAGTAGTGTTAGGTGGTAATGACCTGGTGGTGGCGAAAACTATTGGAGGTAATGACCTATGGTAAAAGTAGTGTTAGGAGATGATGACACTGGTGGTAGTAGTGTTAGGGGAGATTAGTAATGACCCTGTTAGTAGTAATTGTTAGAAATTAGTGACCGTACCTGGTGGTAGTAAATGACGGGTGGCTAATGACCCTGGTGGTAATAGTGTTGAACAAATGACAGCCCTGGTGTGTGAGTGTTGGCATGGTGGTAATGACCTAATGAAGTAGTAAGGTTGGAGATAGTAATGACCTTGTTGGTAATGATAGTAGAAATTAATGGCCTATTGGTATGATGTTGGAGGTGGTAATATTTCAAACAGTAGTAGTGTTGGTGGTAATGACCCACAACAGTAATATGTAGTGGTAAATTAAATGTGACTAGTGGTAATAATGTTAGGGGTGTGTAACCTAGTGGTAAGATGTTAGGTGATAGCCAATCTAATTGGTAATAAAGTGTTGGTAAATATTATTTAGGTAGTAAAAAGTAGGGTTAGAGGTCGTAATAATATATTGGTAAATGATGTTAGGGGTGGTGGCCCTGTTAGTGGTAATGTAGTGTTGGGGGTGGTAATGACTACAGTGGTACCAGTAGTGTTAGGTGGTAACAATGACCCTGTTGGTGGCAGTAGTGTTGAAGACATTTCCCTGTTGGTGGCAGTAGTGTTAGAGTGGTAGCGAAGCCTGTTGGTATGATGGTGTTGGGGTGGTAATGACCCTCAGCTGGTGAAGTAACAGTGTTAAGGGGTGGTAATGACCCTGTTGGTAGTAGTGTTAAGGGTGGCGTGCGTGTTCCCTGTTGTGGTAAAGTAGTGTTGGGTCGTAATGACCCTATTGGTAATAGTGTGTTGGAGGGTGGTAATGACCCTGTTGGTAGTAATTGTGGAGGGTGATGATAATATTTCAATTAATTGTTAATGTTATGCATTATTATCCTACTGTGTTCTAGCACAAGATTAACTGAAATGTGTGGGTAGTATTGAAGTCAACAATTGTGCTATTCAGGTATCAACAACTGTAGTGCACATAAACACCTCCTCATTTGTCTATATTATGATAAAATAATTCATTTTCTTTATATATCAATCACTGTTCTGTATATTAATATTGACATGACATATAAACTGAAAGTCTGATAAATGATATTGTAGGAATTAGCCAACACAAGCCAAAGTGATGTCAGAGAATGTTTTTTGATCTCTGGGCTCCCACCATTCTGCATAAATCATACCAAACAGTGCTTAGTTATAAAAACTCTTTGATGATACATTAGATTGCAGGTCTTCAAATCTTGAATATGATTTTTTTGGGTATAGACAAAAAGTTTATTTGTTGTTGAGTTAAATGCTGAAGATTCTAATTAATATATAAAACCAGCCACTAATGTCAAGAGTTTCCCTTATTTCCATCATCAAATTTAAGTGGATAATCGTGAGTTTTCTTCATCGTGGATTCCATATACAGTACTATGTAATTTGGAATTCAAGATTTCAATCTGCATATTTAATTGCAAGAAAATTTTTGTGATTGTTGTCAGTGATATGTATACCAGTAGTTGAATATGAGGATGGTTCATAAATGCTTATATTATTGTACTTTTCAGAAGAACCGGGTTGGTAACACAACACACTGGAGATTCTGTCAGCAGGGCAGGTATTTGGGGACCAGATGTGGTGTGCCACATGTTGCAGGAGCCAGGCTCTGATGAACTGTATAATGCCGGATGATGCTGAAAGGAGCGAATAAGAGGTATTACCGAAAAGTCCTTTAGACTCACAGGTAAAGACGTTGTACACTTCAGTACGGAAGTCATAATGCATGTGACATTATGTGAAGACCATTTGACATTAAGTTAGGCAGAAATGGCAATACAGCAAGTCCTCAGCTGGAAACAATCGGCCGAAACGCACCAACATATTTCTGCCATTTTCCATCATAAATACTACAGGGCTTGGAGACCAGCTTACAGACTCTTCTTGTGTGTTGCACTTTATTTGAAGGTATGTGAGTTATTGTTTTGAATCCAATTTCTGTCATAGGAAATCATTGTTTATTAATTTTAATCACCTTCATTTGAGGGCCAGAGCCACACTAAAATGAAGACATGAATGGTGAAAATATCACCCTTTAAACTGTTTGTGAA